GATGTCAGATGTGGTTGGTTACTGCATTGTGATTTTCCAGCTCTTTCAGTCACAGTTCATTTAAAGGAATTTTTCCTTCTGCTCTGCCTGATCATGACTTGATACTTCTTGTGAGTGGTTTACTGCTGTAAGACGATGAATGGGATGCTGCCGCTCCGCCTAGCTCGCTGTGTACAGGGTGTCTTTACCCAAAAGGATTATTCTTAACTGTAAAACAATGGGATATCAGTTAGGGAGAGAGAGGCTGTTTGGATTGATAAGAGGGATTTTGTAAAAAAAAAAAAAAAGCACAGGGTTTTTAAGTTCAGCCTTCTATCCTCCAGTTAAAACTGGAAATAGAGTGGATGTGGAGTTCACCATTTTCCTAATCTAAAAAAGTCCACTGTAAAACTTGACACTGATTGGTGAAACTTACTTATACAGTATTTAGGCAATGTGTGTATGTGCGCATCTGCATGTGTTGCAACCCTGAGAGACTGAAACACTTACAAATTCTCCAAAAACATTCTCTGCTTGAGCTTTACTTGAAAACAAACTTCTCAGCATGTCTCAGGTCACCCTGTGGATCTGGCAGTGTAGACAGTTAAAATCAATGTCTGGCACACACTGTCCTCATGGTTAACTCCACTGGGGATAACTATGTATACATAGTATAGAATGTGCTGGGTAGAAGTACTGAGTAATCATTTTGGTGAAAAGCAAAGTTACACTTACTCATAAGTTGAGAAAATGTAATGGCTAGTATTCTAAAAAAACAACTCTATTCAGTAAATAAGCAGATTCATCCAAGGTTTGATCTTGGCAACCAAGGACATGGTGGATCAATACAAAGCAACCATCAGGGATTAACAAAGCCTCCACATCTCTGCATGGCAAATTAGTTAAGATCAATCCAAAATCAATATGTAATGAGCTGTCCACTAACTTTTTCCAGTGCATTTTACCCCTCTGTTTCTCTCTGTCTCCTTCGATCCAGGGTTCATGAAACATTGAGTGTGTTTACATGCACACTTGTATCCCGGTTATGAGCAAACCTGGATATATTACCTCCATATCAAGGCCATAGCTGAATATGATCAAAACCAGGATAAGACTTATATCCGGGACACTAATACGCATGTAAACACACGTGACTTCTAGATCAAAGATGCTCAGAGAGAATAGACAGTGAACCTACATCCCGCACAGAAGGTAATACAATATGATTTACACATAATGGTCAAAGATCCTACAATATACACATCTGCTTTACTGGTCAGGCCTAATGTGTACTTACATTTGACTGATAAATAATGACACAGAATCCACACAATATCTGCTTACATTAGTTAATGCTGCGCTGTTACCAAGGTCTGAAACATGACTCCAGTCATGTGGTTTTGTTTAACAACTCTGGCAACTAAAGCCGCACTGGCCCTCCTTAAACCCTGGCCTTCTCTTTTCGACCATGGCTGGAAGCATATCAACCATGTCAGCCAGCGCAACATCTCTTTCTCTTTCCCTCGCTCTCTCTCTCTCTCTTTCCCCGTTCCAAAGACACGCAAAGATAAGCACAGACACACAGCGGCTTATTGGGCCAACTGGACTGTCTCTGGGAAGCCACGGTGCAGAAATACAAAGCACAATAAGCGGGAGACAATGTGATTCTGTCTCCCTGTTCAGTGGGAGAAATGACCCGAATAGTCTGTGTTTGGTTATGAATGAAAATATCCTACCACCTGGCCTGCGTGTGTGTGTGTGTGTGTGTGTGTGTGTGTGTGTGTGTGTGTGTGTGTGTGTGTGTGTGTGGCCTGGTAACACAGGGTAGGTAATGGAGCGCACATTTATGTTGATTGAGGAGATAATAGGTATGTTTTGTTTTTCATCCTCACAAGACACTGGGAAAAGAAAGTCACTTGGATATTAGCTCTGTTAGTTTCATCCAGAATTCCTCACTGAAGGAAGACTTGGGCTTTGACAGCCCTGTGAGTTGACTTATTCATGAAAGGTGGAAAATAGTCATGAGATAATGATAATACAAATGGTAAAGTCGTTTTAATTCTTGAACACATGCAAACAAGCTGAACGTGTTCCTGCATCTTATTGGTGCATATAAATCAAAAGGAAATGGTCCAGCTGTCATTCTGTGTACTCATATACAAGCACAAAGCGACAGGCAGGAACATGCATACACTGAGGGATTGAAGGGAACAAGAAGTTGAAACATAATATATCATCCAATTAAAGAAAATGTATAATGTATTTGATCACCACACACATATCTGTAAAAGACCAAGTTGACACCAGCACCCCTGGATGCTAGATTAATGCAATCAAACATTTATAAAGTTGGCACACATATCACAATGTTGATTCTTAACAAGCAACAATCATCCTCAGGTGTAGAGGGAAATACAAAGCTAAATATATATATAATACAAATACAGAACAGATACAAAGCTAATTCATCTTTCCCATCTTTCTGCCTCAATGTATTTATATCAATAATTCCCCTGGTGCAAGGCTGAGCAGACCAGCTGAACAGTTTAAATATATTTTCAGGCTGCACACCATCCCACCATAAACTATCCCCGTTTGTAACTGCATTGCAACATTCCATTGTCAGTGGATCGTGTGGCTAAATCTCACATTACATAATAGCACCGATTTATCTCATGGAGCTCCGTAGGCGAGTGCCAGGCTGCAAGGCTGCAAGGCTGCAAGGCTATGAGTATGGTCCAGTGCAATGCCAATTCATCTACAAAGTCTCTTAGCATCCAATGAGAGGGAGTATAAGGAGTGCTCTTCTTCACTAGATTTTTATTTCATAATTACCATGGAACAGTTGCCGCACGCAATGGAAGGTTTTATTAACCCAAAGCAAACAGATATAAATTACTAATAGGGAAATAGGAGGGACATTTGCTTAGATGAAAAATTGGAAATATTCTGAGGCTGTGCAACTCACTGAGATATTTGTGGCAGAATTCAAACACTGTGTGAGTGTTCTGTACTTATCACAATTAATGAATATTCTGCTGGGTGTTTCTATGACTGACCCTGGCAAACAACATTTACTGTGTTGTGATTCCTAGATTCCAAACGACACCTTCGCCATACTCCTCTTGTGTGGTGAAGTGTGTGAAGGACATTAATAGCGCTCACATATCATCTGAGTGTTGGCAGATCTGCTACATTCAAGGCTGCAATTATATGGTAGGTGGCAAAATGTTTCGATTCTGTGGTGCGCATTTGGAAAAACACTGAAGCTTGTGCACAAAGCGCACCTAAGATGGAAATTCTACTCCATTCATACATATTTTATTTCCCTTATTATTTAGAGCACGGACTCTGTGTGGGGTGGGGAATTCTGCCAGTGTCAATTGTAATATCTTCATATGTCAATATTGTGATTATCATTTTAATACAGCTCCAAAGAACCAAATAGATTTTGAAATGCATTAGACCTTTGTGTCAAATTAAATGCAAATTATTATGACAGAACACACAATTTAGATCTAATGTTAATGGTTTGTATGGAAGCTAGAATGCTAACCAATAGTAATGTCCTGTGAGACTACAAAATTGGCTGGTAATATCTATGCTCTCACTGATATACAGACCTGGACACCAATATAACACAAAGTCTAGCTGACATTATTACTATCCTTGTCAGGCTACGAGCTAATAAAAAAACGAAGCACAATTTGTTTATTCAAAGCTGACAACACGTAAGCAGTACTGAAGTAAACAAACTACAGTAATATTCTGGGAGAAAATTTCTGACATCAATCATGTGTACAAGCTCCTTTTCTCCCATAGAGAAAACGAGGGTGGGGTTTGGCAGCACAGGCTAAATCACTGCTCCACACCTAATATAATGATATTTATACTTCACTCTCGCTGACATTGACAAACTCATATTCATATGCATGTGGTTAAACCGGTGCCTTTTGGAGGAAAATACACACTAACTAGGTGTGTGTTTCCTGTGCTCAAAATCAAGTGTTCAGGGCTCTTGTGCTTGTTTATTACTTTTTATTATTATTTACACCTGTGTGTTTCCTACTGTGACATGTCTAAATGTATTCTGTTAAACGGGTCTATGGTATGAAGAGGGTGTTTTTTAGTTATTCCCATTTAATGCACCTGCAATATGGCACATCAGGATACACACAATATACTGTAGATGTGAGTTTATATCAAAGCAGGTTGACAAAAAAGTGGCATCTTTCACTGATACACTCAATAAAAGGTCCCATAAAAGACGTTAATAGTAGGCCTCAAGTCTTAAATTTAATGCTTGATAAGTTAACTCTTTAACTTATCAGACCACCACTGGGATGGGCAGTACAGTTTTTCAGCACACTGTAATCAGTGTATAGATGCTATTTATTAGAATACCAGCTCAAAGCTACAGCTGCATGGTTAAAAGGGGTAAAGTGCCAACTGGCTGTCCTATGTATAAACTCCTGCAGAAGTGTCCTCCACAGGGCCCCAGCTGCCATGGCGGGGCTGGAGAACAGATTGACTTGTCAACACTGCCCTGTCAACAACCTCTCGGTCATAACCTAGCCCGGAGGAGACTACAACCTCATATCTGTAAAACAAATAGTGGATGATATGGGTGTCTGTAACCAAAAAGGATATATATATATATATATATTCTCACACAGAAGTGAAGAGGACATGCACTCAGTTCAATGCATTGGACATGCACGAAAAACTCTGAAACTGCTGCTCCGGCTGCTCCAGTTCCCAATTTTACAGACAAAAAAAGCCGTTCAGTCGATGGAAATGAGAAGTGGGATAACTTCTTTTCATACAGGTTGCTCCAATAAGTTCAAGAGCAAACTCACCGAAGAGGAAAAAATATCAGAGCATTGTAGCTGTAGGCTTCCAGCAGATTTTACATTGCACCCCTTCCCTCCCCCTCCTCCCTCTAACCCACCCGTACACTGAAGCATGTCCGCGCCGTCACAACAGTAGTTTCCGTGTGCTTTAAAAAAAACAAAACTTACCAACAGTCCTTGAGCCTGACCCCGAACCAAGCAGAAGGTACCAGATCCACATCATATGGTCTCCTTTCACCCCTCCCGGCCTACCCTTGCTGTCTTGCCCCGCCGCGGGGCCAAAAGCTTGTGGGCAAAGAGGAAAAACTTCTCCGATGTAGCTTCTCCTTCCTATTGTACTTTTCAAGTTTGACTCTGTTTTTGTGTCTTCCGGAAAATAAAAAATCAGACGTGCATTTCGCGTGAGAGGTGTGGGTGGGTGGGTTCGCGTTGGGACAGCGATGCAGAGTCCGGTTTGGGGAAATGGGGGGGGGGAGGCTACACAGGCTGGAGCTGTAAGGGGCTTCGGGGTGGCGGCAGGCTGGCTGGGGGAGTCAGTCGCTCGTGTGTTGGTGCTGAGAGAGGCGGAGTCGGAGGCAGAGAGCCGGAGAGCAGAGGTCGGCCACTCCGGGACAGCGGTTTCCAAACTGCGGGCATGGGACCGTTAACGGTCTCCTCCAGCAAAACCGGGAGTTATTTGATTCCACCGTTACTTGGTCAGAGCAAAGTTAGCTAACAGCTGCACGGTTATCTCAGCCACTTAAAGGGAAAGAAAAATAAAACTGGGGACAGGTTTGCCAGGACAAAACCTCCAACTACAAAATGACGGTCAAACTTCTTGATTTGAGTATGGCGGCTTGGATGAGGACGTTTTATAGATTCATTCAGAACTAACTGATCAAACTTTGTATGAGATTAATAAAAAAAAAAATGCGAAAGGTAACAGATAGCAGCATTAACAAATGATAATAATCTCACTGTGAATCACATCATTTGGATGATGTAAACAATACTAGCCCATATTGTAAGAATGTTATAACCTAATATTTAATAGCAAGTGGGCACAAAAAAGGCTATAAAGTCAGTGTATGGCACTTTCTTTAAGAAATGTGATGAAACCCTTTAGGCCTACTGTGTTTTCCGTAGAAATGAAAATATTTTGGAACTAAAAAGTGAAACTATAAAAAAATTAGATATGGAGGCAGCAGATGGCACAGGGGAAAACTGTTTAGAGCAATCTTTTCACAGATGGTTTGCCTTGATGAAACTTAAAAGAGGCAAATACTTGTAGAAAATCAAAGCATGAAAGAACTTTTGGTGTTGGCACAGAGAATGGGAAATATACACACGGAGATCAGTTCCTTCTTTTCCATTGTATTTCTGGTGTTCCTATACAAACTCGGCTCTATAGTAACCTCACAGGGTGAAGAATTTAATATTTAACAACTCAAATAAAGCACTGTCCAGGCACTGACCCACAAAGCGTACATACAGAGATGAGGGAGAGAGTACGGAAGATAGTTCATGTTGGTGTTTTCATGCCAATTTAAGTTGAACTGAATTAGAGAGAGACAGAGAGCGGTATGGAGGGACAGGAGGCTTCACCTATCAAACCTCTCCTCTTTATCATAGAACTGCAGCTGTGTGCAGACAGACAACCTCGCTTCAAACAAACCCCTCCTTTTGATAGTGTGCTAACCTGGAGGCATATGATTGGGATGAGTCCCAATATCAGACTCTTCCAGCTCACTTTATATTCATCCACACACTGCCTTATCAAGCCAAAGCCTCGTGCAGACTCAAACTCCAGGGGAGGGTCTTGGCATGTCAGTCGGATCTGTTAAAACTTTGTCAAAGATTCCAGCTCGATAGCTTCTGCAGGGGCCTGTTGTCCTCATACCCCCCCCCCCCCCCCCCCCCCCCCCCCCCCCCCTTCCACTATTGCCTGTAGGGTCTTATGTATTTCAGTCTGTTATGATGAGTCCTGATGGTAGATGGTTGTGCAAGTGCACTGCGTAACCACTCTTGAAAAAGTCTGCAGTTGGCAGATATGAATATTTTAATGATTGCCAGAGTTAACAAAAGGAGACAGAAGTCTCCTCAATGCAAATCCTGAATACAATCAACACTAATAAAACTAAATGCTTGTTGAGGAGGAAGAAGATTTGTCAGTCAATGTTAAATGGATTTTATTCTGCTCCCCTGGAGTTATCATTAATGTTAATGCTGAGCTGTCTCACAAATTATACAGCCGGATCCATGAACCAGAACGGTATAATCTGTTTTTGGGGGCTCTGTAGGCTACAAGCTAAAAGCAGAAATGGGCTCAACTACATTACTGATCGACACACAGTGTTTCAGTAATGCCCATCATTTAGTTCAGGCTATCTATAAACAGCCTGGACCTAATTAGCCGCCGGCCAACAAATGGACTCATTAGGGGACATTAAACTCTAATATGAAGGTTGTTATTGACTTAATCGCAGGAGAAACCCAATTAGTGGCCAAATTTGTAAAATGACTCTGAGGTAGTGAGACGATCTGATTGGCGAAGGGGGGGGGGGGGGGGGGGGGGGGGGGGGTGACTTTGTCTGTGGGTGAGTGGTGGCTTTGAGAGAAAGATGGAGTGAGATTCAGCCAGAGATGTAGAGAGAGGTAAGGGAACGCATAACACAAAGGGAGTCTCTGTGAGTGTGTGTATGTGTGGGTGTAGAGAGAGAAAACAACACTTACAGAGCAAGTCGGGAAGGAGAATGAGTAAGGAAGCCAAGGGCAAGAAAAGTACATGGAGGTGGATGAGGAAACCAAGAAATGAAGGTGAAACAGAAGGTGTGTGAATAAAAGAAAAAGTCACGGGGAGATATTATAATAGAAAGAGATAGGAAAAATGTAGCTGAACAAAATCTTCCTTAATACTAAAGGTATTGCCTTATTACTGATGCAAGCTGTAGCGTATTTCTGAAAGTAAATGAGAGTAGCTGAGTCCAGTGTCACCGAGAGCTTTGCTGATATATCATTCTATCTAACAAGTGGGTGAAATGAGGGGGAGAGAGAGCAATAATACAACTCATGAGAGCTTCAGGATGACATGTCCTTGTCATGTCAGACTGCTGTCGAGGTAGCTTTGAAATGCCAAGGCCCCTAAAGGACTGGTAGTGGCTGTTTCACTCTCTGGTGTGAGCCTCTTGACATTCATCTTACATTTAATAACCAGTGTTCCGATGTGAAGGACATCTTTGTTTGTGTGTGTGTGTGTGTGTGTGTCAGCCCCTTGATGTGAGAGACAAGGGACAACACGTTAATAATTTTAGCAAATGTTTCTGCTGACCCATTAAGAAGTTGACTTTGGTGGCGAATATTCTGAGCTGCACACAACCTCTCTGTGAACAACACCACACACTCACATCCAGGCTTATGTGACCAGTCGTATGGAAACAAACACAAATACAAATAGTTGTATATTGAGTTATATATTGATGCATACTTGCAGAACTTGGCCCTCACTCATGTTCACTGAGAGTCTCCTTCATGCTCCTTCAAATGCATTAATTGAATAATCATTCAATTATGTGATCAATGCCTTGTTCCTTTGACATTAGTTAACAAAGTTGATGTCTTGCCTGCCGGCACTACAGGGACATCAGATAGGCATCGACAATTGATTTCAGAGGGCGGTTGAAAGTGTTGCTTGTTGGTGTGTGACTGTGTGTGTGTGTGTGACTGTCAATCTATAAGGCCCAGGCTGAGAATCAAATGAGGAACAGACATTGATTTAGGATTTCAGACACAGGGACCAATAACCATTTGAGTGAGAAATGCCTGAAGCACCAACAATTACTTTCTTAATTAATCTAGACAAACTGATTGGAATGAGTTACACATAAAAGTGCAAAGCCCAAGGATGATAATAACAAAATTAGCATTAGCATAACATTATTGTAAAGGCAGAATACAGGGATGTGAATATCAAGAAAATAAGATCAATCCCTGGGCTTTATTAGTAAAATAAAAGCTTGTTGCTTCCACTGCTGTGTCTGTTAATGGCAAATGTTCATTAAAACCAGCTTAGTAAATTTCAGAAGTAATAATGGTCCCTCAATACAGAAGTTAATTATACCACTATGAGCAATAATATTTTATCAATTAAATGTAATGATTTACATTCACACCATCATAACAGTAATACATACATAGGAAAAACAGAACTACATAGTGGTTTTACTGGGGACTACTCTCTTTGGTGAATCAGCCCTCAAGGCCGCAGCAGTCCATCATCACATCTGGTTTCTAAACAACAGGTGGTGGCATTTCTAAATAACAGCCTTAAACAAGGTCGAGTCAGGCTGAGCAACGGGCACTTTATGCTCACACGTAATTAGTAGACGGAGGCTAACTGTGAGCACTCATCAGGGCTGCATCACACAGATTTTGTCCCTCTCTTTAGGCCGAATATAAAGTAAACAGTTGCTTATATGCAATCATAATTGTCACTCTAAATGGTTAAATTATTTCCAATTGAGTTTAAACAATGGCTAATTAGAGAGAGGAGATTCAGCACATCAGCATGTCAGAATGAGACTGTCCTCTGTGAGGCTCTGTTTAGGCACAGTGGCTCTCTGAGCTACATGCAGCATAGAGTAGAGCTGAGGCTGCTGGGAGTGTAATTAGTTTCACAGGTATTAGGTCATAAACCAAAGCATTAGACAAATTAGAATTCTGACCTGATGATGGCACTAGATGAAAAGTCAGGGCATAGTCAAAGTCATTACATATCATCATGTGCGAAGCATAAATGTCTGTATCAAACATCACTGAAACCCAACTATTGTGACATTTCACGCTGAACTAAAACTGTCAGCCTGCCGGTGATGCCAGATGAAAAGCAGGGGGTGGGGGTGGGGGTGGGGGTCACCAAAGACTGTCTGGGTGCCAATCAATCTAGTAGATGTGAAGATATTTTACTGGATAATTGAAGACTTTGACCTGACAGGGGATCGCCAAAGTCATAGGGTTCATCGTCTGGGAACCTCAATATAAAGTATGTAACGTTCCCCTCAACTATGGCTGGGTGAGGCGGCCAAAAATATATATTTTTCGTAATAACCAATATCTATAATTATCGATACCATTAATTAGGAAGGAAATGCATTCAACACATGTTTGACCTCAAGCATACACAAAAAAGTATTTTAGTAAATAGCACTGAATATAAACATAACTCATTAGGTTTGAACTTGCACCACAATAAGAGGCGAGTTTGCGATCCTGGGTGCTACTGCCAGCTTGGAACCACAGAGCACAGCTTTCTGTGTAGTCGACAGGATGGTACCTGGAATTGTTGTGTTTCCTGTCTTCGTCGGCATAGGTCGCCTGCATACTTTACAATAGACATCACTCTGCTGTTCATCCAGCTTTAAAGATCTAAAGCAGTCATAATCACCAGTGCTGTGTGACCTCTGTTCGGCACAATTTCCATGTAACGGTTGCTCATTTTTATGTTTCCCACAATGTGTATGCGTTCATGT